CTGCGCGTCCGGAGCCTGTGCTCCGCAACGGGATAGGCCACAACAGTGAGAGGCCCGCGTGCCGGAAAAAAAAAAAAAAAAAAAAAATGGGAGTGCTTTGTGCTGATGAAGATGTGATAAAATGGGCAGTCTTATACCCTGCTGGTGGGAAGATAAGGTGGCAAAAACCTTTCCAGAAAGCAGTTTTGAAATATGTATAGACAGCCAAGTAGTACAGGTCTGGGACTCTGTCTTTATGAAATAGCATAATGTAATTGAAAACATGGCATAGATGTATGCACAGAGCTGACAAATTACAATGTTACTACTAATAACTGAAAATTAACCGACTGTCCAATGATAAGAGGATGGTTACAAAAGGAATGGTCCATTATATCATGTGGTCGTAGTCAATGGTGTTGAAGAAGAACTTTTAGTTTTTGAAATTTTTTTCCTTTAATTATTAACGTTCAGAGTAAGGAATTGGTGCCGGTAGCTACCTCCACCTGCGACTGATGAGGTTTTTTACTTTTTGTTGTTTTGCTTTGTAGCATTCTCTCTCTCTCTCTCTCTTTTTTTTAATTTAATTTAATTTTTATACAGCAGGTTCTTTTTTTAAAAATTAATTTATGTATTTTTCTTTGGCTGCGTTGGGTCTTTGTTGCGTGCAGGCTTTCTCTAGTTGCGGCGAGCAGGGGCTGCTCTTCGTTGCGGTGCGCGTGCTTCATTGCAGTGGCTTCTCTTGTTGCGGAGCACGGGCTCTAGGCCCGTGGGCTTCAGTAGTTGTGGCTCACGGGCTCTAGAGTGCAGGCTCAGTAGTTTTGGCCATGGGCTTCGTTGCTCCGCGGCATGTAGGATCTTCCCGGCCCAGGCCTCGAACCCGTGTCCCCTGCATTGACAGGCGGATTCTTAACTACTGGCACCGCCAGGGAAACCCCTATACAGCAGGTTCTTATTAGTTACCTACTTTATACACATCAGTGTATACATGTCAATCCCCATCTCCCAGTTCATCCCACCACCACCACCACCACTCCCCCTGCTTTCCCCCCTTGGTGTCCTTACTTTTGTTCTCTAAATCTGTGTCTCTATTTCTGCCTTGCAAACTGATTCATCTGTACCATTTTTCTAGATGCCACAAATATTAATAGTTAATATACGATATTTGTTTTTCTCTTTCTGACTTACTTCACTCCATATGACAGTCTCTATGTCCATCCACGTGTCTATCTCTTTCTCTCTTGAGTATCAATATGTGCGCATAGATTTTTTTTTTTTTTTCGGCTGCTCTGTGCTGCTTGTGATTTGTTCTCTGACCAGGGATTGAACTCACGCCCTCGGCAGTGAAAGTGCAGAGTCCTAACCCCTGGACCACCAGGGAATTCCCATGAACTCATAGATTTTTAAAGAAAAGTTATTGAATAATGTGGGAAAATGCTTTATGCTACAATGTTTGATAAAAAAACAGGAATCAAATATATGTATATGACTGATAAAAATCCAATGGGAAGAAGCTGTGTCTGGTTGGGGGATTGTGTCCAGTGTGCTTTTCCATTTCTTTATACTTTTCTTAGACTTTTCACGCTTTCTACTATGGGCTTGGGTTAAATCCAAAAAAGGGAGGCAGAGATGGGCAGGGCGGTGAGGTGCCTCATGCCCGCCTGCCTCACGCCCGTCCCACGCCCCCTCTCCCCAGCTCCTGTACTCCTCAGTGGAGAACATCCAGCGTGTGGCCGCCGGGGTGCTGTGCGAGCTGGCCCAGGACAAGGAGGCGGCCGACGCCATTGATGCTGAGGGGGCCTCAGCCCCACTCATGGAGCTACTGCACTCCCACAATGAGGGCACCGGTGAGGGGCTGGGCTGGGGGTGAGGGGGGAAGCTGGGCCTTGTTCCCCCAGCCTGGGTGGAGGCAGGCACCTGACTTGGCCTGTCCTTTTCTCTGCTCAGCCACCTACGCTGCTGCTGTCTTGTTCCGTATCTCCGAGGACAAGAACCCAGATTACCGAAAGCGTGTGTCTGTGGAGCTCACCAACTCCCTCTTCAAGCACGACCCTGCAGCCTGGGAGGCTGTGAGTATCCCGGGTTGGGCTGCAGTGTCTGGTTGTGCAAGTTGTGCACTGCACAAGGATTGCACTTTTAGGGAGGCCTCTGCCATCCTGTCAACTTCATAGATTTTTATTTTATAATTGGATCATTTATGGCAATCCCCAGCAGATGGAAGTGTAGGTTGAACCATCTACTGTTTTTGACCTACAAAATGGCAATTTTATTTTTTCCAAACTAATATGAAGTGTTGGGGCAGGGGTGCCTTTCTCTAACTTGCACAAAGGTGCTGTATAGGCTGAGGCTGCCCTGATCCTGGGTGGGGCGGCTCCTGGCACCCATTCTCTAGTCCTCTCCCCTCCACTCCCCTCCCCTCTCTAGTTCTGAGGGTGCCTCCAAGCATGAATGGTGGAACCCTCCACCCTGGGGAGGTGCCTGAGGAGACGAGTTCATCAGAGCTCTGTGTAACCCTATCTCATCCTCTGTTCCTTCAAGGGGTCTTTGCCCCGAGCCTGGAGCCTACATTTTCCACCCTTCCCCTCACACAATGTTTCTCTTTGTCTCCATCCTCAGGCCCAGAGCATGATCCCCATTAATGAACCCTACGCAGATGGTAAGTGTGTGCAGAGCCCAGGGCAGAGGGAGTGCTTGTGTGGGTGTGAGCAAGGGGGCAACTTTGTGACCCCAGGGCCAAAGGACCAGTGACAGCCACTGTCGTGTCCACATGCACTCCTGTCCGGGTCCCTGATGTGAGAGTCTGGGGAAGGGGGCGGACCCACTGGGGGCGGGCAGCGGTAGAAGGTGTGGCTGAGGGCTGTCCAGACCCCCCGCCCCCACCCCACAGGGTAACCTGAGACCCTGGATGGAGCTCCCTTCTCCTCCCCAGACATGGATGCCACCTACCGCCCCATGTACTCGAGTGACGTGCCCCTGGACCCCCTGGAGATGCACATGGACGTGGATGGGGACTATCCCATTGACAACTACAGCGACGGCCTCAGGCCCCCCTACCCCACTGCGGACCACATGCTGGCCTAGCTGCCTGGACCCTAGTATGGCGACCCCTCCCCGCCCTGCTTTGCAGCTCTCCCTTCCCCCTATGGGCTGCTGAGGCTCGGGCTTTCCCTTCCCTTCAGAACTTCCTTCTCATGGAGGCCCTCTCAGGTTTCCCCTGAAACTCTGGCTCCTTTCTGGGGGAAACAAGTGTGGGGTCTCTTGGTGCTGAGCTCCCCCAGGGAAGGTGTGCCTCGCCTGCCTCATTCTGTTATCTTGGCTTGAGGCGAGGAGTCCTGCCCCTTCTACCATGGTGGCTGGGTTATGCACGAACTCCTACGGGCCACAGGGCTGGCCTGACCCCTCTGTGTCTGCCCCTCCCTCCAGGTGCGATTCCCCATCTGAGAGGCTCTCCTCGCAGGTGTTGGGGCGAGATAGCCAAGTGCCTGAGCCTGGGCAGGAGGGCTGCAACTTCCTGCT